GGGATTCCCTTCTGTGGAATGTCACAAACACACTATAAAGTCTTAGGCTGGATTTACACCTTTTAGGTTTTGCTTAATGCATTTTCCATTAAAGTCAATAAAAAGACATCAAACGCATGTTAACAGTGACACACGATGCGTCCTGATGCATAGAACTGTATCATGATGTGCATCAGTGCAGCCCTTGTGCATTATGATGTGTGTTGACATTGCTGAATACAAAATGTACAGCAACACACAGCACATGGAAAACGAGCAACAACACCCGTTACTGCCATGCCATGCTAGGATGCGTTTCCATTGATTTCAGAGGTGAAAACACACAGGCAGAAATTCAGGCTTTTGATGCCTAAACATTTCAATTCGGTCATTTCATATTTTCCGTATTTTTTTCCTATGGTTGAACTGGATGGACTTTTGTCTTTTTTCAGCCAGACTATCTATGTAAACTATGTAAAGCTCAATTCCAGGGGAAGTAAATCTCCTTTGTAGTGGGGCTGTCCCTGTACTGGTAACTGCTCATTTCTGCCTAGGGCAGTGCTTTCCAGCCAGGGTGCTGTTTAGACTCCCCTGGGGTGCAGAGTGCACAGGATCTTGGTCAGCATCATGCCTCGCAAATCATTCTCTGATTGGACAAGGTGGAGAAGCGGGGTGGTGATAGGGTTGCAAACCTCATCCCTTTAAACCGAACACATATTAATTTCACAGGTACTGCAGCTGATTAAGGTGGTAATTAAACTCACTCAGGCTAGGTTCACACCTGTGCAGTTTGCGTTTGACCCGTTTCTGCATTGCGTTTTTTGTGTTTTTGCACCTTAGTTTTTTACGCACTTTTGATGCTTTTCTTTTTAATGTTTTTCAATTTTTCTTGTTGCTAGGCAGATTTAAAACTCAAAAAATAACACGCATACAAAATGCAGCAAAAATGTACTACATGCTTTTCTGCAGCATTTCCATTGAAGTCCATAGAACCAAAAAGTCCCTGATCCTTTCCAAAAAACGAACCTGGTGAAACCATGTTAAGTGCGCTGTAGTGCGCTTCTGCAAAACACTGCGGAAAACGCTTAGGTGTGTTCCTAAGGTGAGTGCCTTATGTACATTACATTAGCATCAGAACCTGTGTAATTTAATATGTGTTCAGTTTTAAAAGGGATGAGGTGGCAACCCTAGGTGGTGACATCATGTTCTCTACCTCATCCAGTCAGAGAATGCTTTGCATTCATTGAGAAAATGCAAAGTGTTTTATGTATGGCACCCAGGCCAAGAGAGCAACCTCCTGTGGTTACTATAACAGAACAGCCACTTGCCAAAAGACCTGGAAGCCAACAGCATTACTGTAGTAGCTGTGACTACTAGAGTGATTTAAAGCTTTTAGTGCACATTCATACTGGTGCGATTTAAGGTGTGATTTACGAATTAAAATTGCACCTGAAATCACATCTATTGAATGTGAATGTCAGTGTCTTAACGTGCGATTTGCCACAGCGTGATTTCTAAAGTAGTTCTTGCATTACCTTTTCTGCAGTTTTGTTGCGATTTCACATACATAGAATATAATGCAAGAAATTGTTGAAAATCTCCACAAGTAGCAATAAAGTCTTCAGAAATTGCACACAAACCAAGCAATATTAAATTGCAACGGTGTGACTGGTGACTTACTGAGGTTGTTCAGGTATGAGATATACTGTACATATTTACTGTATATTTGTTCAAGATGGACCAAGGTAACTATGCAATACATTTATCACTAAACTTCAGCTTGAGGCTACATTTATACCTGACGATATAGACAGTCCCAGAATGGGACAAAAAATAGGCCCAGGCATTTTGAACTGAGCAGCCCAAAAGCCTGGGGACACTTTCCTTGGAGCCCAGTGGCAGAACTCTAGCGCCTGGACACAAGAGCGACCCACCACTAGTGTCAGTAGGTTTTTCTTTTTATTTAATTTTTTTATAGTTTTATATTTTGTTGGTTTTTTTTACATTTTATTGTAGGAGAGAGAGAAGAAAGAAAGAAATGAGGGAAGGAAAGGAAGGAAGGAGCGAAAGAAAGAAATGAGGGAAAGAAAGAAAAGGAGAGAGAGAAAGAAAGCAAGGAAGGCGGGAAAGAAAGCAAGGAAAGAGGGAAAGAAAGCAAGGAAAGAGGGAAAGAAAGAAAGGAAGGAGGGAAAGAAAGAAAGGAAGGAGGGAAAGAAAGAAAGGATGGAGGGAAAGAAAGAAGGAAAGAAGGAGAGAAAGGAAGAAGGGAGGGAAAGAAAAGGAAGGAAAGGAAGGAAGGAAGGAAGGAGAGAAAGAGAGAAAGGAGGGAATGAAAGAAAAACAGAAAGGAAGGAGGGAAAGAAGAAAGAGGAAGAAAGGAGGGAATGGAAGAAAGAAAGAGAAAGGAAGGAGGGAAAGGAAGGAATGATGAAAGAGAAAGAAGGGAGGTAAAGGAAGGAAAGAAAGGAAAGAAGACAAGAAAGGAGGGAGGTAAAGAAAGAAAGGAAGGAGGGAAAGAAAGAAGGGAGGGAAAGAAATGGGAGGAAAAGAAAGGATGAAGGAAAAGAAAGGAAGGAAGGCAGAAGGGAAAGAAAGACAGGAGGAAAAGAAAGGAAGGTGGGAAAGAAAGGAAGGAAAAAGGAAAGAAGGAGGGAAAGAAAGAAAGGAAGGAGTGAAAGAAAGAGGAAGGAGGAAAGACCTTCTAGGAAGGGTTTAAAGCTTTTCGATTCATTCAAACCTGGTGGGATCATGGCATTAAGGTGTCTAATCCAACGCATTTCTCTCTGGGAGTAGAACCTTATTCCAGTCCCCAGTCACAGAGAGAATATTTTTGGCTCCCCCCACCGAGCCAGTCTTATAAAAAGAGATGCCTTTTAACATTCATTTGCGGTATACACATCCAGAGTGGAGACAGCTCTTGCGAGCGGATCGGAGATGTTTAAACGCTAACCATGGATGGCTCACTGTAAGTGTAAAACATCTTTTGGATTTGCTTTCTAATTTGATTAATATGGAGGGAAACCATTCTTGAGGTAATATTGAATAATGAGATATATTGTCCCCTCGATGAAGAGGAATATTATTTAAAAATTCTAATATTGATTTATGTCATATATAATTAAATGAGTTCACTACTCAGGAGATATAGAATTTATTCTATCTAAAACTTGATTGGTAATATAATTTGCCCTCCTTCTTTTTACAACAGTGGGTAGTGAGGTTTCAGAGGTCCTTGTGTATATTCCATCAGGGCACTGGCGGCAACTGTCTATCGCTCCATGGCTGCAGGAGATGGCCTTCATATCTAACAAAGTTTGATAATGTAAGAAATGTTCTTATTGGGAAACAGTTCATGATTTATTCGTTGTAATATGTTTGTGATAAGAAAGAAGGATGGAAAGAAGGAAGGAGGGAAACAGGAGACAGAGAGAGAGAAAGAAAGAAGTAAAAGAAAGAAAGACGTATAGAAAGAAGGAAGGAGGGAAGAAAGAAAGAAGGATGGAAAGAAGGATGGAAAGAAGGAAGGTGTCAGGGCTCCCAGGTATGACCAGAGGTGTGTGACTGATGCAGGGAAACGCAGACTTCAGATATGTGATAAACAATACAATTTATTAACACTAACCATACAAACATAAACACAGTGCAATACTAAACATAATACAGTGCAAACAAACCAAACCAAACCACCCACAGATAACAGTACATACAAGCAAGCGTCGTCAGGCAGGCCGGGTCAATATCAATTGGGCAGGTAGGTACAGGGGGAGAAAGCAGAGAATGGTCGGGGTCACAGGCCAGGTTCAGCAGGTAGCAAGCAGCATAGTACAGAGGGTCAGGCAGAGGGATGGTCAGGGTCACAAGCCAGAGATCAAAACAGGTAACAAGCAGCGTAGTACAGAGGGTCAGGCAGAGGGACAGAAAAACAGGATGCAGGACAGATACAGGGCCCAGGACAAACACAACACCAAGGCAGAGTCTGTGGGTCTGGCCATCCCTTAAATACCCCAGCATCATCAGTTCCAGGTGTTAGCTGGCTGAAAGGTTGAGTCTCTGATTGCTGGGAGCACCCGCTGGCCAGCCCTGGTACTGCAGATCAAAAGGCAGGTGAGTCCCACCATTGCTGGCCAGTCCATTCCTAACAGTACCCCCCCAAGGAGCGGCCTCAGGACGCTCCAAACAGTCCTAGCTGGGCAAAATGTTCCACCGCCCGGGTCTGGTAACTGGCGGGATATCAAAGACTGGCACACCGGGCAGGACTCCGGGCAGCGGCACACCGGGCTGGACTCCGGGCAGCGGCACACCGGGCTGGACTCCGGGCAGAGGCACATCGAGCAGAGGCACACCGGGCAGAGGCACACCGGGCAGAGGCACATCGGGCAGAGGCACATCGGGCAGGACTCCGGGCAGAGGCACATCGGGCTGGACTCCGGGCAGAGGCACATCGGGCAGGACTCCGGGCAGAGGCACATCGGGCAGGACTCCGGGCAGAGGCACATCGGGCAGGACTCCGGGCAGAGGCACATCGGATTACCAGGCGAAGCAGCAGGCAGCGGGCCACCAGGCGGAGCAGCAGGCACCGGGCCCCCGGGCGGAGCAGCAGGCACCGGGCCCCCGGGCGGAGCAGCAGGCACCGGGCCCCCGGGCGGAGCGACATGCATCGGGCCCCCGGGCGGAGCAGCAGGCACCGGGCCCCCGGGCGGAGCAGCAGGCACCGGGCCCCCGGGCGGAGCAGCAGGCACCGGGCCCCCGGGCGGGGCGACCGGGCCCCCGGGCGGAGCAGCAGGCATCGGGCCCCCGGGCGGGGCGACAGGCACTGGGCCCCCGGGCGGGGCAGCAGGCACCGGGCCCCCGGGCGGGGCAGCAGGCCCCGGGCCCCCGGGCGGAGCAGCAGGCACCGGGCCCCCGGGCGGGGCAGCAGGCACCGGGCCCCCGGGCGGGGCAGCAGGCCCCGGGCCCCCGGGCGGGCAGCAGGCACCGGGCCCCCGGGCGGAGCAGCAGGCACCGGGCCCCCGGGTGGAGCAGCAGGCACCGGGCCCCCGGGCGGGGCGACATGCATCGGGCCCCCGGGCGGAGCAGCAGGCACCGGGCCCCCGGGCGGAGCAGCAGGCACCGGGCCCCCGGGCGGGGCGACCGGGCCCCCGGGCGGAGCAGCAGGCATCGGGCCCCCGGGCGGGGCGACAGGCATCGGGCCCCCGGGCGGGGCGACAGGCATCGGGCCCCCGGGCGGGGCGCAGGCATCGGGCCCCCGGGCGGGGCACAGGCATCGGGCCCCCGGGCGGGGCAGCAGGCACCGGGCCCCCCGGGCGGGGCAGCAGGCACCGGGCCCCCGGGCGGAGCAGCAGGCACCGGGCCCCGGGCGGAGCAGCAGGGCACCGGGCCCCCCGGGCGGGGCGACCGGCGTCGGGCCCCCCAGGCGGGGCGGCGGGCGTCGGGCCCCCAAGAGGGGCGCCGGGCCCCCAGGCGGGGCGGCGGGCAGCGGGCCCCAGGAGGGGCGACGGGCATCGGGCCCCCAGGCGGGGCGACAGGCATCGTGCCCCCAGGCGGGGCGACAGGCATCGTGCCCCCATGCGGGGCGACAGGCATCGTGCCCCCAGGCGGAGCGGGGGCGCCGGACCCCCAGGGCTGAGCGACAGGTCTCGGGCCCTCAGGCGGAGCGGCGGGCGCCGGACCCCCAGATGGAGCGACAGGTCTCGGGCCCTCAGGCGGAGCGGCGGGCGCCGGACCCCAGGGGAGCGACAGGTCTCGGGCCCTCAGGCGGAGCGGCGGGCGCCGGACCCCCAGGAGGAGCGACAGGTCTCGGGCCCTCAGGCGGAGCGGCGGGCGCCGGACCCCCAGGTGGAGCGACAGGTCTCGGGCCCTCAGGCGGAGCGGCGGGCGCCGGACCCCCAGGTGGAGCGACAGGTCTCGGGCCCTCAGGCGGAGCGGCGGGGGCCTCAGGCGGAGCGGCGGGGCGCCGGACCCCAGGGAGGAGCGACAGGTCTCGGGCCCTCAAGCAGAGCGGCGGGCGCCGGACCCCCTAGGTGGAGCGACAGGTCTCGGACCCTCAGGCGGAGTGGCGGGCGGGGGCGGACCCCAGGCGGAACGACAGGTCTCAGGCCCCAGGCGGGGCGGCGGGCACCGAGTCACCAGGCACAACCGTGGGCTCCGAGTCAACTGGGATGACCGCTGGCACTGGGTCAGACATGGATCGTCTGGCTGGACAGCGGGCATCGGGTCACCAGGCATCAGGTCATTTGGCTCGACAGCGGGCACGCGTCATCTGGCAAGGCAGTGGGCTCCGAGTCAACTGGTATATGACCGCGGGGCACTGGGTCAGACATTGGATCGTTCTGGCTGGACAGCGGGCACTGGGTCACCAGGCATCAGGTCATTTGGCTCGACAGCGGGCACCGCGTCATCTGGCAAGGCAGTGGGCTCGAGTCAACAGGCACGGGGACAGTGAGCACCGGGTCATCAGGTACTGGATTGTCTGGGTCGACAGCGGGCATCGGTCACCTGGCCTAATAGGATCGTCAGGCTGGATCAGTTCATCATGCTGGGTAGAGGCATCAGGCTGAATGCCGGCGTCCGGCTGAGTAGAGGCTTCAGGCCGAGTAGAGGCTTCAGGCCGAGTAGAGGCTTCAGGCCGAGTAGAGGCATCAGGGCGAGTAGAGGCTTCAGGCCGAGTAGAGGCTTCAGGGCCGAGTAGAGGCTTCAGGCCGAGTAGAGGCATCAGGCCGAGTAGAGCCATCAGGCCGAGTAGAGGCTTCAGGCCGAGTAGAGGCTTCAGGCCGAGAGTAGAGGCATCAGGCCGAGTAGAGGCTTCAGGCCGAGTAGAGGCATCAGGCCGAGTAGAGGCATCAGGGCCGAGTAGAGGCTTCAGGCCGAGTAGAGAGGCTTCAGGCCGAGTAGAGGCATCAGGCTGAAGAGAGGCATCAGGCTGCATACAGGCATCAGGCTGAAGAGAGGCATCAGGCTGCGTACCGGCATCAGGCTGAAGAGAGGCATCAGGCTGAGTAGAGGCTTCAGGCTGAGTAGAGGCATCAGGCTGAGTAGAGGCATCAGGCTGAGTAGAGGCATCAGGCTGAGTAGAGGCATCAGGCTGAGTAGAGGCTTCAGGCTGAGTAGAGGCATCAGGCTGAGTAGAGGCATCAGCTGAGTAGAGGCATCAGGCTGAGTAGAGGCATCAGGCTGAGTAGAGGCTTCAGGCTGAGTAGAGGCTTCAGGCTGAACCACGGAAGGCAGGCTCACCGGTTTGGATACTGGCAGGATGGTATTGGTTGGAAAGAATTTTCGCTTTTTTCTGGTTTTAACTACTGGAGCACTGCAAGTAAACGCAGGTCTGCAAACGAATGGAGCAGCTGGAGACAGAGAAGAACTGGAGGATGGAACAGGAGAGGGAGCGGTTGCTACAGAGGGCTCTTTTACAGGGTTAAAGGCAGGATAGGTGCAGCGAGTGGGAACAGGGGGTACTGACATGCGGTAGATAGCAGGGCAGGAGGAGCTGTTGGGAATGCAGGAATAGAGTTTTGAGGAAATAGATTAGAAGCAGGACTGGGTCTTTGTAAGCTGACTGAGGCTGGGTGCAACAAATCTGTCCATGTCTGCAGTATGGGTTTTGAACAAAGCTGAGCTTACACAAAGCCTGTCTGGTCAATGACTGCACTGCATTTATACAATCTCTTAGTGTCTGTGGTGAACATGTGGAATAACGCTCCAGAAAGTAACCCACATCATCCTCTAATAACCACACCAGGGACTCTACCTGGTCTGCACTAAATGGTGGCAAAAATTCATCCCTGCATTCGGGGGAACCAGATGAAACCAACTCAGCACAAACCTCAATCAAAGGCTGCACCTCAGAGAACTCTGTGCCCTGATCTACTAGAACATGAGCGAGCCGTATACATTCTAGCAGTTCATCCCGGTATACTCCTTCAGAGTTTGATAAGCATACTCCCTGTCATCAAACACTAGCAGATATAAATATTCAACCTCATCAAGATCCATCCTTCCCATCAACAAGCCAAGATGGCTTCCCTGTGCAGCCACTTCTGGTCAGGATTGGCCTTGGTGTAATGTCAGGGCTCCCAGGTATGACCAGAGGTGTGTGACTGATGCAGGGAAACGCAGACTTCAGATATGTGATAAACAATACAATTTATTAACACTAACCATACAAACATAAAACACAGTGCAATACTAAACATAATACAGTGCAAACAAACCAAACCAAACCACCCACAGATAACAGTACATACAAGCAAGCGTCGTCAGGCAGGCCGGGTCAATATCAATTGGGCAGGTAGGTACAGGGGGAGAAAGCAGAGAATGGTCGGGGTCACAGGCCAGGTTCAGCAGGTAGCAAGCAGCGTAGTACAGAGGGTCAGGCAGAGGGATGGTCAGGGTCACAAGCCAGAGATCAAAACAGGTAACAAGCAGCGTAGTACAGAGGGTCAGGCAGAGGGACAGAAACAGGATGCAGGACAGATACAGGGCCCAGGACAAACACAACACCAAGGCAGAGTCTGTGGGTCTGGCCATCCCTTAAATACCCCAGCATCATCAGTTCCAGGTGTTAGCTGGCTGAAAGGTTGAGTCTCTGATTGCTGGGAGCACCCGCTGGCCAGCCCTGGTACTGCAGATCAAAAGGCAGGTGAGTCCCACCATTGCGGCCAGTCCATTCCTAACAGAAGGAGGGAAACAGGAGAGAGAGAGAGAGAAAAAAGGAAAAGAAAGAAAGACGTATAGAAAGAAGGAAGAAGGGAAGGAAAGAGGGAAAGAAGGAAGGAGGGAAAGAAAGGGAAAGAAGGAAGGAGGGAAAGAGCAAGAAAGTAAGGAAGGAGGAAAAGAAAGAAAGGAAGGAAAGAAAGAAAGTTAGGATGGAAAAGAAGAAAGAAAGAGAAAGGATGGAGAGAAAGAAAGAGAAAGAAGCAAGGAGGGAAACAAGAGAGAGAGAGAAAGAGATACGTATAGAAAGTAAGAGAGGGAAAGAAGGAAGGAGGGAAGGAAAGAAAGATGGAAAGAATGAAGAGAGAAACAGAAGACAGAGGGAGAGAAGGGAGAGAGAGAAGGAAAGAAATAAAGGAGGGAAGAAAGAAAGAAGAATGGAAAGAAGGAAGGAAGGAGGGTAACAGGAGACAGAGAGCGAAAGAAGAAAAAAAAAAGAAAGAAAGACGTATAGAAAGAAAGAAGGAAGGAGGGAAAGAAAGAGGGAAACAAGGAAGGACAGAAAGAAAGAAAGGAGGAAAAGAAAAAGAAAGAAGTAAAAGAAAGAAAGACATATAGAAAGAAAGGGGAAAGAAAGAAAGAAAGAGGGAAAGACGGAAGGAGGGAAAGAAAGAAGGAAACAAAAGTAAGGAGGGGAAGAAAGAAAGGAAGGAGGAAAAGACAGAAAGTAAGGAAGGAGGAAAAGAAAGGAAGGAGGGTAGGAAAGAAAGAAAGAAAGAAAGAAAGAAAGTTAGGATGGAAAAGAAAAAAGAAAGAGGAAGGAGGGAAAGAAAGAAAGAAGGGAGATACATAGAAAGAAAGATGGAAAGAATGAAGGAGGGAGACAGAGGGTGAGAGAGAAGGAAAGAGAAAGGAGGGAAAGAAGGAAGGAGGCTCAGGATTCCACTTGTTAGGGCTAACCGTGGGAGACATCCCAGACGAGCCCCCAAATGTAGACCACAAGAATCATGGGTTTAGGGTATACAACCCCAATTAACGCATAAAAATAGAACACCAGTAAAATAGGAATAATCAGCTAACAATGTTTAACAAATTATACAATCGTGAGTAGTAAGCTTCAACTTATGAACCCTTTGTCGCTCGGAACTGACAGCAGGTGGTTTTACTCACAATCCAATGGCTGTAGCCACCGAGATTGTGTGTAAAACTGATCAGCAGACTACTGCCTGTCAGGTGGAAACACATAGGCAGCTGTAAAAGTGTAAAGTACCTCCTGCGCTTATATGGATAGGATTGCTAATAAGCCGCCAGCACTAAATGCCTCAACCTAGGCACAAATGCAAAAATCTATATATATCAGGGTAGTGCGGCGCTATGCATAACTCATAAAAAATATCAAACCAGTATAATGTTATACATAACTCTTAAAATGGGATGGCAGGAAATGAAAGCATAAGTAGATAATAAAGGTGGACTATACGAACACCAGCCCCCACTCACTAAACTAATGACAAACACAAATAAGACACACTCACCTTTCTTGATCCTCACCTGAGGGATCATAAATCAGTGCAGAAAAGTGTGTGTATCCCTTTAGGGGATAAAGTAATAACACAGTGAGCCGTGCCAAACACTGCAAATAAATACTGCAGCACTCCACTCCTAATTGCACATGGATGCTGTAGTAAACAATGTCCACATAAATGCCGCAACTTCACACACACATGCAAGTGATATTCTCGTGCTGATAACGTGCCAATCCTTAGTAGCTGGAGTGCCCCCTCACCTTCCTGCCCAGGCCCCACAGGACCAATGAGCCTTATGAATCACTCATACGATCCTCCCCAGGTCAAGGTGGTCTTCTTAGTAATGGTGGTAGTACTTTCTCCTCCTTCTACTGGTTTTGCCTCCAGCCACTAGTGACACTGCTGTATATAGTGCTCTCCATAAACGGCCCCAGTAGTAAGACAGAGAATGGCCGACATAGTGTAAAACTGTTTTATTGATCACTTCTAGATAAATACAAAATGCCCACTCACGTTTTGACAGTCACAGTCAGGCCTTCACACCACATTATGGGTGTACTGCATGGGTATGAACAAACGGGTGCACCAAAAAGTGACTTCACCGTGCACCGGAAGCTCCTCTACTTGCGTACCTACGCGTTACGTCACTGTCTGTCACGTGACTTCTTCAGGATATCCGCTCAACAGCTGCTCCCACAGTGGTGGTACCTCCTCCAGAACCTAGGGTACCCATTCCTGAGTGCTTTTCCAGTGACCGAAGGAAGTTCAGGGCTGCCTGTCAACTGTACCTAGCACTCCAGCCAAGGACTTTCTCTATAGAAACTGTGAAGGTGGGGTTAATCATCTTCCTCCTCTTTAATGAACCTCAATCCTGGGTCCATCCCTTCAGCAAGGATGACGCCCCCTGGAGGACTACACCGTGGACTTCCGTAAATGGTCCGCAGAGATACGGGATGGAATGAGGCTTCTCCCAAGTACCAATACCAGCTTGGATTGTCTAAAGCCCTCGAAGATGAACTGGCCAGAGTTGAGGCTTCTGCTACATTAGAGGGCCTTATTCAGCTGGCTATTCAACTTGACAGACACCTGCGGAAGTGACGGTTGGAAAAGACATATGCTTACAGACCCACTTGGATGCTGCTCAAAGTATCAGCTGCACCTCCACCTCTGCCTACCACCTCCACTGCTCCTGCCTCAGATGGGGAACCTATGCAGATTGCTTTGGTGCATCCTGTTTTGACTCCTGACGAAAATATGTGTTGCCAGCAAGCTAATCTGGGCCTTTATTGCAATGGAACCGAACACTTCCTGCGCAACTGCCCAGTGAGACCTAGTAAGTCCAGGTCTGCTAGCCCCACTTACTTCCAAGTCTCCAGATCTGCC